ATATATATATATATATATATATATATAATAAACTTACCAGAGCCGTGTAGTATTGAGTTGGCAGCTGCAACCAAGAAAAATTGCATTGATCAAACTCGATTCATCGTTACACAAATAATTTCTTCGAATTATTAATCGAGATGAAATCTAAAAGCAGACTCGGGGACGATCAATAAACAAGTAAATAAATCAAGTGTTTCGTGATATGCCATACTCACCGTAACCGGTTCGAGGCGGCAACCAACCAAGTTAAATATATCCCTGCAACCATACATATTTATAAATCAAGCAAGAAGAAACCTATCGATAGTTTCGATTTTTCTTTTCTTTCCTTTTTCCGAAAAATTTTGAAAGAAATAAATTAAAAATTGTAATATACTGCACCCAATGAACCAAGTGAGAAGGAGGGCGATGGAGACGCCATGGCCGGACTTGGTACGGAAGTTTGTAACGATCTGAGGAACCTCGGCAGTGCCCCAGAAAAGCAAGCTGAACATACCAAGGCTGAAAGAAATTTCGCTTCTGATGTCACAAACGCAATCCTTGAAATATTTTTCTACCCATTGCACACACTCAACACTGAAGCCATGCCAGGCAAGCTGCAATACATAAATATTTATATATGTATAACTATACAATTAATATAAGTATATACATCTCATGATCTCTGTTTCAGTTCGAAAAATAATGGACTTGGTGAGCTAGCTACCCCATCAATACCTCTTTCTTATAACTTAACCGACAGCACAGGGTATTAGAGATGAAAATTTGATGGGCGCCGGATGGAGAAAGATGTTTAAATTGCTAGACAAAAAGTAGGAATAAATTGTGCTTCAAATTTATTTGGCTTGCCAGGGTGCTATGAACAAAAGTTATATGCCTTCGAGGGCGAGGGAATATTCTAGCTACGGCTACTATGTCACTCCTTAGATGTGGTTCGAAGGCAAGGGAATATGCTTGCTACGGCTACCATGTCACTCCTTAGATGTGGTTGCTGGTACCTGCAGAAGTACAGATTAACGGATATTCGAATATGCGCGAAAGATGAGAGTTGAGATGCGCGCCGCAGAGAGACTTTAAAACTCGATCGAAAGCCAGAGGCTCAATTCGTTCTCATATCAATACATCATCATACGGCGTGAGCATGGAAAATTTTGGGTCAGATCAGCTAAGCTAGTTTAGAGGGGGTTCCCGACTTCTTCGTACCACAGCATCTGTGCCCCCAACCGGATCAGGTTAAAAAAAGAAAAAAAAAAAAGCCTTGTCATTTTATAGGCACTCGTCGCGGTCTCGCTGCGCGGCAGCCAAGAAGAAAAAGACGTGGAGCGTCGAGGCCGCGCTTTAAAACGAATCTTTTTTATGCAACGCGATCTATGCCACCCACGTGGAGTGTATTTCTCATCCCCTCATCTAACACTTCGACAGCACAACTTTGTGGCGCCCGCAACCTCGCAGCGTTCAATGAAATATTGATTGTCCGATTGAATCTGACGGCGGCCGTGCAACATCATCAGGTTGCCTTGAACCTGGTTCTCTTCGCGTACCATATCATTGTAGTCTAGATTCAATGAACTCTAAGGGTTGTTTTTAAATTATTTTGAAATGTGAATAATACGTGTGACTAATTCATTTAAATTTATATTAATTTTTCTTAAGATAAATTTTATTGATGTAAAATTCATGATAATTAAAATTTTGGTCAGGTTAACTCAGCACTGATAATCACGATGTGCTCAATTCATAAAAAAATTGACCCTCAAATTAAATTTGTCACTGACGTGCATGCATGTAGTATTAGCAGCTATGGATTGGATCTCGAGTTTTCGTACGTGCCATTTTAACATAGTCCAAGTTCAGTGAATTTTGGATTTGGGATCAATGGGGGAGAAAACTTTTGCCATAAAGCTCTAATCAAATTTGGGACGTGTGACTCTAATAGTCATTAAATTTGTCATAAAATATGTATAAAATATAACTAATCAATTAAAACTCATATACGCAACTCAAACTAAATCTAAGGGATATGGTTTTTAATTATCCTAACTTAATTTTGGGTCAAAGTATTTTAATCCAAATTTATTCAAAAGAATATTAATGTCTATTTAGACCAATTTTTTATTCTGATCACGAAAAAAAAAAACTAAGAACGAGTTTTTTATTATTCATTTGGGAATAACTGTATTCTTATGTTGAATCCAGAAATATTCGAGAATCATGTCCAACGAATAGAGTGTGCAAGGAATGGAAGAGTGAGCAAGAGAAAAAAATTTGACAGTAAGATTAAGAGTGTCTTGAATTTTTCTTCATGAAATGTTCTTTTATTTAAAGATATAAGAGACAAACAATTATTTTTTATGTCTCCTCTCTATACAAAGAAACTTACGGGTACTAAAGTCATTTATATAATATATTTAAATATGTTGATGAATAAATTGTTGGCCGACAGCCATAATCTTTCAATCGTTGGACCACACTTGTTCTTTCGGAGGTGGTGGGCCGAACCACATGGGGGTCATATGAAGACTTCTCGGTCGAGCTTGTTTATGACTTCCCCTCAAACTCTAGTTCACTTTCCTCGTTCGCTTAGTGGTAACTCGTTCTTCGTTCAGCTCGCTCTGTGGGTATCTTTTGTTCAGTCATTCTTATGGTCATCCCTCATTCGGCCACCATGTCGATCTGCACGTTGACTAGAAGAACGACCAAACAGAGTTCTGAGGTGCTCCCTCCGACTTTCACATTGATTTTCCTTCTTAAAAAATTAAATTAGTCTGTTGATTGATCTTATTATACTTTGACTGCGGATCCACCTCATTTGTCGTGAACTCATATTTTGATTTGAGATTCGTGGTCGCAATCTTATTATACATATCTAGTTTTCCAATTTTATTATTTTTTGAAAGCAACAGCTACGATAAAAACAAGAAAGTTACATAATGCATTAAATATTGCATTAAATGTTACACTCCTAAGTTAAATATTGCAAGTGAGGAAAAAATGACATGAAGCCCCATTTTCTCATCATTTCCTTTGCTCTACATACTCTCCTCAGCTGCTCTAGCCATCTAGGTCACCGAAAATGGGATCACTTCATCGAATCCGACCTCCTTTGGGTAGATTGAGGCTGAAGCTTTAAGCATTGTTAAGTTTCTTGCTTAAACTCTGATTTTTCTCTGTTTTTTCTATTTGATCCACAAATCATTCACTCGCATTCTCACGATTTCTAACAGGTGCCGACTCTTTGTGATCTAGAGTTAATTATTGCTCCAAATCCCTTGTGTCGTGACCAAAATTTTTAATCTTTCTTAGCCTTCTTTTGTCATGGCTCCAAAAACCAAGGGAAAAGGGCGATCTAGTTTTGACCGAACTAGATTTGCTAGTCACACCGCCGCACAATGATGCGGGATCATTCTAATCACCCTATTCTTGTTGGCATGTGATTGTTACGTCATACAATCTGTCACCTAAGATATGCATGCAAAGCCATTAATTTCTTCTTCATGACACTGATTACATGCAACCCCAGCAACCTAAAAAGAAGATTTATGTATATTTGTAGTTGTTGATAGATGAGTTGCAAGTTCTTTGAGAAATATGTGTAATGATGTACGACGTATCAATGAAACACAATTTACTGATGAAAGCAATATTAATATGGATAATAAGTAATTTTTTTGCATATGGAATGTTATCTAAGTGGAGCAAATAAAGTGACATATCAGGGGTTGATAGATCTTGCTTGTGAATCTGTGTGCATCATGAAAATCTGACAAATTTGTGATGTAAATGGGTACAGATTTCATATGAGATCCTGATCTGAAGGAAAAAAGTCTTGTAATGTTGGTGTTTGTGTTAAAGCAAACGATAAAACAAACGACGAGATAGGTTATCATGGGATTTTGGAAGTTGTTGAACCATCGTACCCAGGCTCTATTAGAGGAAGTGTTTTCTTATTCAACTGTACTTGGTTCGATCCTATTCTAAATCGTGGAATAAGGGTAAACCAACTATAAAATATCACAGAAGTAAAAGTGAACATAAGGTATAAAAAATTGATCTTTTCATTCTAGCCTGAAAGGTGAGACAGGTTTACTATCTTCAATATCCACATAGAACAAGAGATAAGTTGACTGGGCGGTTGTCATTTCGAGTAAACTGAGTGAAATCATTAATATTTAGAATAACATTGAACATGTCAATCAAGAAATTGAACTGATAGGTTTTTGTGGCCCACTTGATACAATTGATGAAAATTTTAATCTAGAGGTTGTTAGTGGCGAATACAAAAAAATGACTTTGTTGAGGAGTACGCCTTTGACGGTGTGCTTGAAGAAGAGGTCATGACTACTTCCTTCAGTCACTCTTCAGATGATACTGACTATTTGAAGCTTTAGTCTCGTAAGTCAATATAATGTACTTTTCGATGAATTTCGTATTTCAGTTTATTCCGTACTTTTGTATTTTTGGTTTTAGTAGTTGAACCTTACAATTTACAGCTTTGAGTTTTAAGTTTACAATTGTGTATTTTTGTGTTCTCAATTTATTACATAATAAGTTGTTATGTGCACTAATAAATAAAATTTCTTGTCTTTATTGCATATATCGACTAGAGGCAGGGACAATCTCCCTCCCCACTAGGGGAGGGGAGGCACTATATGACAAAAAAGCAAGTTAGAAGAGGACGCCTGACTTAAGCACCCACCGCCACCCCTACACCCACTCCCACCTCCGCCCTTACCCCTACCTCAACACCCGCCTCCGCCCC